CAAGTATTGATCGTTTAATTCCTTCATTTCTGGCGATCGTGTCTTCAATTCATTGACAATCCCTTCATTTGTCTTTAGTTTTGATCTCAAACTCTTGAGTTCAGTCTTCATTTCGTGAATAGTCTTCTGGTTTGCCATCAAATGTGTCTCCAATTTGGTCTTCACTTCAACCGACAGTTCACTCAACTCTTCAGCACTCAATACATGACTCAATAAGTATTGACTCATTTTGTTGTCATATACTGCAAACTAATCAACAATTTATTGATTTAAATACAAATTTGTCGATTAATACTATTTAAACACAAAATACTTTTAATATTTTGAAAACAACCCATATTATAGCCAAAGTCTAAAAAGTCTTGTATTCATAACTTTAAGTTATTAACTTATGAATCATAAGAATTCATTTATATTATAAATTGTTTAGTAATTTATTTATAATAAATGATTTTCGACTGAAACTCGTTTCTAAATAGCGGTAAATGATTATAAATAAAGCAATGCTTTTAATGGGTTTTAATGGGTTTATAAAACTTTTATAATTTATTCATGTGATGGCATACTTTCAAAGTACAATTCAAGGGTTAAATATATTGATACAATTAAATAGGTAAACCTAAACCTTAATACTCATACTATTAAGTTTACGCACTCTTATATTCTTAACACGGGTTAATTTGTTTCGCATAATAATAATAAGTTTACCATAATCATCAAGGTTACATATGAGCACTTTAAATTCAATGGATTGAAGTTTTGTTAGTTCTGCCAAAGAATGCAATGACGAGTCGGTTATGTCTGCCTTCGATAGACATAAGTATTGAAGTCGTGGTAAATGTTTGTTGATATCACTGAAGAAGTCATCGCTGACTGTATCGAGGTTTAAATCTAGTGTTAAATGAGTTAAACGATTGCAGCGATTAAGGGATTCACTCAATACCTGTATATGCAGTCCACTGACAGAAGTGCTGCTAATTCTCAATCGCTTTATTTGTTTAAAGTTTGTGTTCATTATATCCAATACAAACTTATAGGTAATATTAATAAAATAGCAATTCGTATTAAAAGACAATCTCTTGAGTTGAGTACAATTAGTGCCTATTTTTCGCAAACTATTGAAAAAGTTTGTATTGAATGTATTGCGTGTTTGGATACATAGTTTCAATTCTAGCAAATTCTGCAATTGTGATAAACCATTCAATAGATCCGGTGTTAGTTCATTATAATTACAAGATAAGTCCATTGATCGCAAACTATGTCCATATTTAGCCACAAATGAGTCGAAGTATTCAATACTATTATCATCTGTACGCCAAACACTTAAACGGAAAGCACGAAGATTTCTGAAGTAATAGTGATTGTCGTCACAAAATAAACGCCAAAATAGCGATTGATTTTCGAGATTAGGGCTCATAATAGACAGTTGCCGTACATTATCACACATTTTGAACATTTTAATCATTTCTTTGGTATAATTATGCAAATATCCATTTATATGAATATATCTCAAACTTTTAGCCGATTTTTCTGATATTAATCGTTTGCAGTGCTTTAACAATAGTCTGAATGCTTCAGCGAACAAAATATCTTTAGTTTCTGACACCAAGTGATCATTACTAACAATGTTTGACACGTTTTGACATTTCTTTACAAATATCTTAAATTTAGACAAATCCTTGAACTTCAGTACCATTTCAGCTTTGAGTACAATTGAGTGCATACTCTGTGCAGTGAATAGCAATCTCTGGTACCGTTTGGAAAGACATTCAAATCGGAAGCGCTGTTCGAGTGACAGATAACTCACTAATACTTCGCACAAATCGTCGCCAAATCTGTCCAAAGAGTCTTTGCTATAGATTTGAGACACACTTTGGGATTCATTGATGTCTTCATGTCTTGTGTCCAACACTTCATTCAAATGCAACTCTTTTATGCAAATTCTGTTCATTTGTTTCAACACTGAATTCGGTTCACAACTAATCCATTGTTTGTCTAAAAGT